CCACAGTCAGGTCGAACCGGATGACTGCAGGGCTAACGGTTCGTGTCGCTACCAGTCCGCTGACATGGCGCGTCAATCAAAGGTATGTTTTTCCCATTACTTGCCCAGTATTACTTTGAATATTATTATTGTGATTGAGTGATTGTGATATACAGTTGAGTTGCTCAGTTTTTTTAGATTGTCAATACTATTACTGTATAACTAATATATCAGGTTAAGAGGCACATTCAAATAAAGATTGGTCTTTAAATACATTTTGTCTCTTGAATTGTCTGTCTAAAGTCAAGGATATAGAACTGGTACTTAGTTGTAATGGTACAGTCTGGTTATTATGCTGTATGGAGGAGGCCTCACAGGTAAGAGCACTAACTAGCTACCATCACATGTACCTTAGCTTGACTTAAATGCATTAAACGTATAATTAAGTGATGGCAAAATATAAATAACTAATGTCATGCAAACATATTAATATTTGCTTGATTCCAGAGTTGAATTTAGCGCAATTGCATACAAACGTTAAGGGATTTTGAGATTCTGAAGTCTTCGTTCTAAATACAAAATAGCATGGATAATTTACAAAGGCTTTAAAAACACAGCAGGAGCCCAAGACAATTATAAAACTTGGTTTTATTTTCATAAACGGTTATCAACCGTTAGTGCCAAAGCAGTAGGCTATAATCAGTGGCGGTTCTAGACCAATTTGACTGGGGGGGCCACTGGGGGGCCAGTTATTTTCTGAGGGGGGCACAATAAATGCAGGACGAAAAAGAGAACTAGACAGTATGAAGTAATTGGGCATAAGAAAACAATGCAATACAGTTATTGGTATTTGTTTCAGTACACTTATTTATTTCAGATAGATCTTATAGTTATTACTGTTAGCTTCAGCTTAAGTTATAGTACAATTTTTGCACTAACACCATATCATATTTATATACAAATAAAGGCAATGAACAGTTACATCTCTACTTTACATAAGGGTGTCTGCATCCCAGGCTGTAGTTTCCTTCCCAAAATGTCACATTACAGCAACAAAATCCTGCAGTTTTTGTGATTTTTGGCAGACCGATCAACAAATAAGTCAAGATTCAAAGCCTTTGACCTCCTTGACTCAATACTAAGCAGACCCAGATTGCTCAGTCTCTCTGAGAAAAGTTTTGACCAGCTTCAATGTAGCTCACAGGAAGCAGAACTGACTGGGATTGCGACTGCTATTTTGCAGAGTCTGAAGAGCTCAAAAAACACTTCTTTATAAGGCTCAATGAACTGAACAAGCTCCACTGTACTATCAGGTCTCTGCATCCCAGTCTTTATTTTCTCTAAAATTCTGCTGAACTGATGTAGCTCATGCCCCAAGTCCTCAATATTTGCATCATACAACTGAGCAAATGAAAACAGAGTTGTCTCCTTCAGAAATGCATTACTTTTGGGGTTAAGAGCTTGGATGCTATTCATCATGTCACAGTTTGTGTTTGAAAACCGTCTATTAAGCTCATTGAGCATCTGATCAATGACAGGGTAGAAAAAGACTGTACGAAACCCGTGTTTATCTTGTTCTGTCTCTCTCTGTCCAACAGTAGGCTAGTCAGTACGAAGCTTTCAGCAAGTTTAGAGCTCAGTCGTTTTTGTCGTTTTGCTGCTGGCTGTATTGCAGTATCACATTGCTCAGAAATGTTCAACACTTCATCCCACAAGTTATCAAAAAATGACTCCTGCCTGAAGTCATTCAATGTCTGAACTAAAGATCCAACTAAATCCACAGCCTTTGAAAGGTCAAGGGATGAAGACTGTAACATGTCAGAGAGAAATGTTGTTTCTGCAAACACTTTACGGAGTGTTACAAGATTCACAATGAATTCTAGATCCAACTGTGCCAGCAGACCACGTGCCTCAATAGATCTCTCACCATTGCGTTCTTGGGCTATGTCTTGCAGTACTCGCTTGAGGGCCGGTAATCTATCCATAATGTTAATGTTTCCATTATGCTACAATGATGGGGAGTTGTCTTTTCTCTTACTGTGCCACAGAACAACACAAACACTTGTATTTGTATTGTTATTATTTTTAAAGTAAAGTAACTTGTTACTAGTTACTTTGACAATTTAGTAACTAATAAAGTAACTAGTTACTTTTTTGAGAGCAGTAACTATAACTATTACTAGTTACTTTTTAAAAGTAACTTGCCCAACACTGGTAATAAATCATAATTTTTTCATTTTTTTCACTTTTCATTTTTAGGGGGGCCACAGGGGGGTCAGAGGCCAGTGTTAGGGGGGCACTGGCCCCCCCTAGAACCGCCCCTGGCTATAATATATTAATTACTGCTGTAGACCAGTACAGCCACTACTTGTTTAGCTAGCATAAACTCAACAAAGCTAGCGTTAGCTGGCTAACTGACGTTATTTTGCCGCTAAACTGCACAATATAAAACGGTGGTCTTCAAAGTGGTCTCAATCACAATAATAATATTCAAAGTAATACTGGGCAAGTAATGGGAAAAACTTACCGTTGATTGACGCGCCATGTCAGCGGACTGGTAGCGACACGAACCGTTAGCCACCCGGTTCGACCTGACTGTGGCTGTGACCGACCATAGATATATCTATGGCTGTGACTGACTCGAGCCTCCCATGAGCCTCCCATGAGCCTCCCATGAGCCTCCCATGAGCCTCCCATGAGCCTCCCATGAGCCTCCCATGAGCCTCCCATGAGCCTCCTCGTTCTGATAGCTCCGCCCCTTCGCTCCAACCCCCCTCCCTCCCCCCACATCTACAGGTGAAAATTACTTTTGCGACACATTTATCGCAAGAAGTGTAGCAAAAGTCAAGACCGCAGATTCGTCGATGTATACTGCCACAGAGCAGATTCGTCAAGTTGTAATGACTGATTTGAGAGTTTGTAATAACCAAGTTGCAGTTGTAATGGAAAATATATTTTAAAAATATGTATTTTTCTGCAAGTTCATTTTTTTGCAGCACCTCTTTTCACCCTCTGTCTGAAACCAGGGCCCAGTCTGCTCTGATTGGTTAGCTGGCCGGCTCTGTTTTGATTGGTCAACCGCTTAGAAATACCCAGATCCTTAGCCCCTTATCTTAGTAACCACAAACAATGTGTTTGAGCGCTAGCTACTGTAATAGGAATGGCGATGTTCCATAGTGCCACAACAGGAAATTGGAAAAATTGTTAAATTTACACATACATAATCTGACTCAGTATCAGTTACAAAGTTATATAAATCTTAATTTTAAAGGTACCGCTGCTTGTCATACCAGACCAAGTGAAGCTGTACTGTAGCTGCAAATAAACCTTAGTCTATTGAGTTGAGGATGGGAGTGTTTTTATTGCTTATGAATTTCATTTTGATTGCTTGTTTCATACTCGGCAGCTGATGCTGTCCAATACTTTGTTGTCTACAATAAAGCCTTGGATAAGTGTGATGCATTATGTCCCTAGTCCCCGGGCTGCTATTAGTTTTCAGTTATGGTACTCCAAGGGAGTTTGTATATATATATATCTTTGTGCATATATTGAGTCATTAAATCGGATTGCAGAATTTATTGTTTAAACCTCCATTTGTCCTTGTCCATAACCTCAACACCTGCCTATAAAAGACACTCTCTTGTCTGCCATCACACAGTGTAGGCTTGATGGCACCAGGTTCAGTTACCGTCGTCTGTAAAGCTATTACTTTGAGCCCTTTAAACATGTTAAGGGGTCTACACCATGCCTTTGCATCCTCTAAGGTAATTATCCCGCAGGCTGTTTGATCAAGGGGGAACATGGATGTGTATGTCGCGGCTTGACTTTGGCTGAGGTTATTACCAGCATGTATGATGGAAAGGCTAATAATGCGCAGCCATGCTTGTCCTCTGATAGGCCAACTGAACCAATGCTCATGCATCAAAGACCAAAAAAGCAACAACACTTGACTGGAAAATGACACCATTAGTACTCCTTAGCTAATTATCTGTGCTAATACCCCTTTAGCCGCGTGTCTCAATGACAAGAAAAGGGGATTAATGTTTGCCACAAAACATTGAGAAATGTTGAAATTATCCACAGGCTTTAACATTTGTTTTGTTCTTTTCCTGAACAGTTAATGAATGGGAAAGAAACATAGCTAAACAAGCTAAATAAAAAATGTCAGTCACTGATTGTAAATAAAATGCCTCAAAGTCACAATGGTGTTGAATATTCCGTCCTGTTTGCTTTCACCTAAATTAAAATGAGAAATTGACTGTCAGTAGCACTTAGGTTTAATTAAAAATGACCACAGTTGAGCTAGTTCTCATAACAGGAAGGGACAGAAATGTTTCACAGAGAATACATCATCCTCAGACAACAAAAATATGCAACCCTTTCACACATGCACTGCAACCAAAATACTTATCCACCCGAAGCCTGATATTTCTCATTTCTCTTTGCCATAATGTTTTTTTCTTTAACCAACACAGCAATGATCCACATTTCCCTTCATACACAGTCCTGCCTTTTAGAGGTGCTACCTAGTGCAAGTGTATTCATTCACAATGACAAATAATGCCAAACAAATGCAGTATTCACTCCTGTTTTTTTATTTAAAAAAACTACAGTACCAACATGTTCTGCAGAATATTAGTTATTTTTTAATAAATTGAGACCACAAGCAGAAAAGCAAAAGGGAGAATTGGTGAAATCTGACAACTCCAATAGCTTTCTCTCATGCCATGTTGCCTTTTAAACCTCCATAACACAATTGTACTGTCCATTAATTTCCATGCTTCCAATTTGGATTCACTCTGCATGTGTCTATACCACAGTGGAGTTGTTTTGTCCACTCATGTCCCTGTACTGTTTAACCTTTAAACACCAGCTGGACCACAGTCACCCTCTCTTTAGATGTCCTTGCCTCTTTAAGGAATTGTATTAAAAACCCATCCACCCTAAATATAGTTCAAATTTGGTTTATGCAGCTCTTTTCATGTTAGCCTCTGTATCTTTATCCTCTCACTTTGGTACAGGCCTGCTCAGGTGTCAGCAACATCGCCCACCTGGAGATGGACCTCCAGCGGGAAGGGGACGCGTCACCTTTGGCTCCAGACGAAGGAGCGCAACTTCAGGAGCTGCCCTTCACCCCTGTCCATGCCCCTGTCATCACACTGGGGATGAATGTACCCAGGTGAGCCTGAGAAATGCCATGAGAAATGATCTGTTATAGAAAGTCAAAGGCTTTCTTTTAAGTAAGAGGGCTACATCACAATTTTTGTGAAACGGTCACGAACAAATTCAATTAAGTTACTGTTACGACCCGCCCTCTACTTAGAGACTCGTTGGGGAGACCCGCAACATAAAATACAACACAGCAAACACGCAGCATTTAACGGTGTTCATTTATTGTGATACATCCGTACTTACATGGCCAACCGGCAAATGAACAATGCGCTGGAGGACAGGAAACAAACAAAAGGACAAAGGGGGCCTGGGCCAGCCACAACACGGGCCGTAGGACCCAGAGCTTCCCTCCGCTACCCAGAAACCTAACAAATCCCTGCGGGAGAAAACAATGCCGCGAAAACCTAGACTACCTGTTCCTCCAGAGTACATAAGACACAAAACACTAGGAATCTACAGATCCTGAAGCAGTAGAAGGAGGAAGACCACGGACAACCTCGTCCGGCGTTAAGATTGGGGAAGAGAACTCTTCTCCTCCAGCTTCTGCTTTTCAAGTCCCCAGCTGAACGTAATTAGGACACCTGGGGGAGGCGGAGCCAGGGGCGGACCAGGTGTGTCTGTGCAGCAGGGAGACAGAGAGACAAACAGGAGGGGAGCACGTAACAGTTACAAAGCTGGTTGAAAGGCCAACGTATCTTGAACTCTCAGACACCAAAAAGTCTGGCAATGTTGACATTCGGTGATTTTTGAATAGTAAGAAAATTAAAAGAAATAGCAGGCCAGAATAAGCTACGGCTTTTTTATGCTGTAATACATCACTTATAAATTGCCTTTTACCCCAAGAGTAACACAGGACTGCCTTCATAAAACATGCCAGACATAATTTCCTTTACACGTGTTAATTTGTGGTCTTCCTCCCCTAGGCCTCTGAATCTCCATTACCCGTGTTAAGGTTAGTTATTTGCAAAAACTGAATTTAATCCATTCAGGTACCATTCTGCACACCGAAAACCAGGGCTATCCCTTATCCTGAATAAAAAGTGACATAAATACCGCTTAATGTATGTTGGTGTTGGCATCAGCTGTGTAATATGAGTTGCAATAAAGAGGCCAGCTGTTATTCGTAAAACACTAAGCGCTGGCCAGTTAAATGATTGACGCTTATGATGTGTGGCCTTGAAAATCGATTTGATTGGGATTGAATCGGTTGCACTCTAGTGTATTCCAGATATATGAAGCTGGTATGATTTGGCCATCTGGCTTTCCGAGATTAATACATAATAGCTCACATTCTTTTAAAGAGTCCCTATTGAGCTTTTTTCCCCTTTCTTGTAGTGTATTGTTGTGTAATGTGTAATATACGTTTTGATGCATGTAAATGGTCTGCAAAGTTTCTATCCAACAACCCACAACACCATTATAGGCTAAGGAGCGGGACATCTCCAAGCAGTTGACCAATCACAACAGAGCCGACCAGTTAACTAATCACAGCAGACTGGACTCTGGTTTCAGACAGAGAGTGAAAAGAGGTGGCAGCACAGGCAGTATGAGAAAAAACAAAGCACTTTTTTAAACATTAAAGCACATAAACATGTCACAATTGAGGCACACAATACAAATATGAACCTGAAAATGAGAAGAATATGTCTTCTTAATCGTAATCTCTTTGATGAGGAGTTTCTAGGGTGGCTAACGTCTCCATTGCAGCACCGGAGATTGACAGAAAGTGTTACCCAGGTTTCAGGAGACATTATTGAATAAAGGAGCCACTTCAAACATGCCTCTGTTTTATCTGGCCGCGGTATCTCTGTGTACAGTCCTTCATTACCACAAAAGTTCACTGCCTCGCTATCTACAGAGGGATATCGATCGGCTCTCTAATTGGCAGCATGTGTTCGCCGTGCGGTACAGCGATGTTGTCAGAAAGCGGTAGAATCCAGCTCAGAGCCAATTTGAAGAAATCGTTTTGTCAGCCTTTACATTCCACTTTGGGTAATGGTCTCAGCATTGTTTTTTCTTTGTGGGAATACATGATTAAATCCAGCTGTAAGGCTGAGGTTTTGACTTTGATTAAGTTTGCTACAGAATACATTGCTGTGAGCTCTGAGTTTACACAGCAGCTAATAATAAAAGTTTTGGAGAAGATATCTTAATGGCAGCGGTAAAGCTGACCACCAATGAGAAACTCTGCAAATAATGGGCACGGTTACTCCGAAACAAGACCTTGCATTAGCAAAGAAAGTCTGTCAATAAGCAGCGGGCATCGAAAACACTTTCCCAATCCGAGAATTTGGATCCAGATACCACGCTGTTCAGTTCACTAGACCGAAACATCTCTGCCTCTTCACTCTGAGCCAGAACATCTTTTTGACTGTGTTCGGTACGGGCTGACCCACTTCTTTTGAGAAGAACAATGAATCTAAAGAAGTTTAATTGAAGTTTGCCATGCATATCTGATTGAGTCCCCTTTGAAATAAAAATGACGTCTTGAATATTAATCCACCCAGGCTAAATTAAGATCTAACTTTGAAGGCGTGAAATTGACACAGCCACTGAGGAGAAAGCCCAATCGACTGTCTTCTTCACTGTTGTTGCCTTAATTAGTTTAATGGAGGCTATGTTACTTTTATAATAACCCAAATATTATCGTTCATTTTTCCTGTGCTTGCACTTTAGCCAGACATCTGTGCACTGTGTTTATCATACCCAGAGCGTTTGGTGTCAGTGTCGAGAGCATAAGTTATGAATGTTACCATAGTTGCGGAAAAACAGGTAGCCACTATGATTACAGATAACTGCCAATTATGTTGGGTAAATCCAGAGGGGGCGATTTGGCATCCGTTCCCTCTCCCCTGTAAGCGTTCTCGTTCTTCTGCTGCTTGACGGATATTACTGACATCCTCCTGCTGTCAAATATTGAAATCAAGTCCCAATAAGTAAGGAATCCCAAAGAAACCGAAACAAAACTGGGTCTGAAATGATAAAGCAGCACTGTATTCTGCTTGGATCCCAAACTAATTGTAAGCCTCATTTACAACCGCAAATCGCCCAAATGAGGCTGCTGTATCTCTGGTTAAACGCATTACATCCAGACCCTCGTAAAGCATCAGCATTCACGCTCGATTAAGTATTTTCTGCTTGGCGAATGATCGATGTTTGCTCATGACTCTCGAACTGTCCTCTAATTTAACAACTTTCTCCTTTAGCTCCTGCTCAGCCAGCTCCAGGAGCGCACTGGCCCACCTCTACTCAGCTGGCTTCCCCAACATCGTTGACTCTGATGGGCAGGTGGCTGAAGTCCTGGACCCCACAGAGCCTGTGACCTTTGACCTCAGGCGGGAAGAGATTGACCCTCTACAAGGCAACCTGCTGGTGTTCCAGTTTCTGGCGTTTACCAGGTGAGGCCTGTGGTGCGGGGTCACATCAGTGTTACCAATGATAACAGCAGCTGATGTACTGCACAATGTCTGTCCTTTTGTCATAGAGATCAGTGCAGATTGGTTTATGATTTTATGCTCCTGAGATATTTCTGTTAATACAATGATTTTTTTATTTATTATATTGAGATGTGGCAGTCATTGATTTGATTGGTTGACAGTAACTTTATTTTGTATGAATCTAATCTACTTAAACTACAGGTACTTTTGGGGTTTTTCCATTTTATGTTACTTTGAGTTCCACTTCTCGATACCTTTTAGGGATGTATTGTGCTTTTTACACATTTATTTGACAGCATTTTAAGGTAAGAATTTAAAACACAAAACCAGTGACACCTTTTTGGCTTGGAACGCTAATACAAATCATTGTAATTGGAGTTACATTTCAGATCTCTATGCGTCATTAAACGTGCAACCAAATGTAGATGTTTCCCTCAAAGCATCTCACATGGTTTTATGTAAAAAAAATGAGTTGGTGGGAAAAGTCGGAAAAATATGACCTACAGTAAGGATGTCATACATGAAAATATATCAGACAGAGGGACCGAAATATGCACTTGTATACACGTAGGATTCTTAATTCACTACTTTTGATTATAATGGAATATTTTTATATTGCTGCATGGATACTTTTACCTAAGAAGTGCATTCAAAAACTACCTCCATCACTGTTTGAAACACTCAACTAACATATTGTAGACTGAGGCCACAGGCCATTTTACCTTGTATAGGAAAATATACACACTTAATGCATTATTGTGCTCAGGCTGCCTTGAGATTTCTCTCTTTTTTCTGTATTGAACTGCAGCCAAATCTTCAATACACTTAAACCGTGCCGGCATAAAGTCCTGCCAGTCATCCGCTACACACACGTCAGGTACATACTCAGACACCGACGCACACTCGCAGTCTGAAGAAAAACACACAAGCAAGGGCTGAATCGCACATCTGTCAGCGTCTCATCACAAAAAAACCCTAGAGCCCGTGTCCCCTCTGTCAGAGCTGACAGTGGAGGGGGGTGGGGGGCGCTGAAGGATGGGTACAAAACACACCACTGCTTGTGTCCTTCTATCCTGTCATCAGCAGCATCAGCAGTTTGATAAATCCAACACACATCTGTCTTGTTCATCGCCATCATGCTGCCATGACTTCCTGCGTACCAACTTCAACACTTGACATGTGCAGCTGTTCTCTCTCCTAGGTGTTGATAGACATTGTTGCTTTCAATCGAGTGCCACAGTGACGCATCCTAAAACACTTTCTAATCGATAGATTTATGATCGATTGATTTATGATTAGAAAATTATAAAAGTAGGGTAGACATGTGGATATTATCCGGCTGAACAAAACGTGATCCGTCTCTTAAATGTGTGTCAACTACAGACCTTATTTCGAGCTATTTTCCAAAATCCTATGGAGAAATTGCTTTGCTTTTTGTCGAAGGAACCGGAAGGAGTTTACTTCCGGGTTTCAGGATGCGTCACTGTGGCACTCTATAATGATTGTTTTACAAATATTTGGGTCTTCCTTTGTGATGGTAGAAGATGTTTAATGTAGGTTCACCTGTGTACTCCACATTTGAGAGACGAGTAAATATTCCTCATTATTCCATCCAAGCATATAACCAAGCCGCACACTCTTCACCTTTTTGGGCAAAATCTGTAGTTTTCATCAAAGTTTTTAATGTTTTTTCTCACATAAAGATCACTTTTCAAGCCACTTTTTGTTGGAAGGTTAGCAAAGGTCCCTAGAGCAACACATGTCAGTTACTCTGTGACTCTTTTTCTGTCTGATTGGTGTGTACGATGTGGGCTTTGATGCTGTGCTATGACATCTACCCTCTATTTTTAAGCTGAACATAGAGGAGGAATTAAGCTATGGAGGTAGAAAAAGCGGCAGGAAAAGAGGCACCTCATGGCTAAGAAGCAAAAACAAGCATTGGTATTCTTGGTACGGACCAATAGGCTTTAGAAAATGATTGGGACTGCATTTACGTTATTTATCTTCCAATTGGATGTCCGTTTTTTACATGAGCTTTTTAGTTTTCAAAACATTATAAATTATTGAAAAATGCCCCCCACAAGTGCCCAGAACCAAAGTTAAAGTCTTCAAAGGACTCTTTTGTTTGCCTCTGTGTCCTTTAGAATAAGAAGAGTATACTGGGGGATACAGTCATTTGACAGGCTGTGTCCCTGTGCAAAATGTAAAACAGTGTAGCTACAGTGTTACATTTGTGTAATATGGGTCTAATAACAGTGTACCATGGGATTAATATGGGTGTAATAACAGTGTAACGGGGTGTGTTTAATATCTAATAAAATAAATAATAGGTGATTAAGGCATTTTTAAGAGTTATCTATTTTTATTTCGCAATAAATCAGATGCGCCAAAGTGTTAAAAAATAACTTGATAATGAGAGGCCAATGAGAGGATAATTCTGGTGTGTGCACACGGTGAGATTGATAAAAAGAAGTCAGACTGACTTTTTTACAAGAACCTTCCCCTCCCTGATATTGAGCAGCGAGGTCAGTAATGAAATGTTTCTGATACCTTTCATTTTTCCCCAGAGCATCATCACTATCCTGTCTATTCCCAACCGGCTGGCAATTAAATCACTTTGAAGGAAGTATGGTATAACAACCCAGTCGTGTTGTAAGATTGCAACAGCAAACGCTTAAAGCCCCTGGGTAAGCTGAAACACTACCATATTATCCGTGGGAGACCGTGAAAAAAGGAGATATTTCAATATCAGAAAGTATGGATTTTTACTTTAATGTGTGAAAATACCAAAGCTAATTTAATTCTCCAGTTTTTTTAGTTTTGTTTCTGAAAGCCCATAATTGAACATACTTTGTGAATCTCTGTGGCTCACTGTAGCGTGGGCTCAGCCTGAGGGTTACCTCATAATTATGACAAACAGGTATGGCGCGCAGGGATTTAGGAGCCTGTGGATACCAGGCAGTGTAATTTTCTAGCTCTCACCCGGGCGCCATAATTATCAATATTGTCTGTTTACAGAATGAATATTAATGCCTGCTTCTCTGTGAAGGCGGAGCACGTGGAATCTTTAACGGTGGAGTATCAGAGCGAGTGATTGACTAGGAGGTCACACACCGCTCTTATTAGATTCTTCTTTGAAACCTGAGGCTTTTACGTCCTGTCCGTCGACGCGGGGGGACCTCCTAGAACTCTCTGCTCGTTTTGAAATCTTTTTTTCCCTCCTCATTATTGAATACCCGATGACGGATTGCTAATCTATTCATTTGACGGAAACAGAAGAAGCTTCCCCTGAATGTTCGCTCATTATTTATTATGCTCGCTGCTAAATCGAGTCCTTGCAGGCTCACTGGGACATTTTCAATCAATCAATCAATGTTTATTTATATAGCCCAACATCACAAATGTTACATTTGTCTCAGTGGACTTCACAGTTTGTACAGAATATCAGTATGACAATACGACACCCTCTGTCCTTAGACCCTCACATCGTACAAGGAAAAACTTCCAGAGAAACCCCCCAGGTAATGGGGGAACATGGGAGAAACCTCAGGGAGAGCATCAGAGGAGGGATCCCTCTCCCAGGACGGACAGACGTGCAATCTGAATTCTCTGAGTTTTTATCAACTTTGGTTCTTAAAACAGATAAAGTAATTATCGTAGGTGACTTTAATATTCATGTTGACGATGATAAAAATAGCCTTACTGTTGCATTTAACTCTATATTAGATTCTGTTGGTTTTTGTCAGAGTGTAAATAAACCAACCCACTGCTATAATCACACTCTCGACCTTGTTCTGACTTATGGTATTGAAATTGAGCAACTATTAGTCGAACCGCATAATCCTGCTCTATCTGACAATTTCTTAGTAACTTTTGAAGTACTGTTACGAGACTACAAAGCATTAGTCAAAAGCTCCTGCAGCAGAAACCTATCTGTTAGTGCTATAGCCAAATTTAAGGAAGAGATTCCACCAATACTTAACTCGATAGCATGTCTGCATGTAAGGGAGGAAACTTATACAAAATGTACACCACCCCAAATTGATCATGTTGTTGATAGTGCTACAGATGCGCTGCGAATAAAATTAGACTCTGTTGCTCCTTTGAAAAAGAAGAAAATAAAACAACATAGATTAGCTCCATGGCATAATGCCGAAACCCGCAAAATAAAGCAAAAGTCGAGACAACTTGAAAGGATATGGCGTTCCACTAAACTTGAAGAATCTCGTTTAATTTGGCATATTAGTCTCAATGAATATAAGAAAGCACTGCGTAAAGCGAGAGCAGCCTACTACTCTTCATTAATAGATGAGAATAAGAATAATGCAAGATTTATTTTCAGCACTGTAGCCAGGCTGACAGAGAGCCACAGCTCAATTGAGCCTTCTATTCCCATAGCACTCAGTAGTAATGATTTTATGTGCTTTTTTAACGATAAAATTGTTACTCTTAGAAACAAAATGAATGACCTCTTGCCTTTGACCAGTATAGTGTTATCAACAGCTCCCGGAAACCTAAGTTCTAATATTACACTAGATAGTAAACTAGAATGCTTTTCAGCCATAAACCTTGAACAATTAAATTCAATGATTCTCTCTTCTAAACCATCAACGTACATGTACAGAGCAAGACATAATCTACTTCCTAGGAAATTAAAAACATTGTTCGTAGACAGAGAGGGTGGGTATAATTTGAGAGGAAATCTACATTTTAAACAACTCAAGGTCAGAACAACTCTGAGAAGTATGAGTTTAACAATCTGTGGGGTGATTTCATGGAATGGTTTGGAGCAGGAGTTCAAACAAAGCACAAGCATAATTCAGTTTAAAAGGATGTACAGAAACACTTTTTGGGAAAACTATGAGAATGAAGAAAGGTGATTGAAGATGAGAAATTATTGTATATGTATGTATAAATGTAAATGTATGTAGGAATAACTTGCATAATGATTTAAAGGACAATCATTGATCAAGTAAGGGGTGGGAATTAATAAGCATTTGCTTCCTCCTACTCCCTTTCGGACACATATGATTTATTATTAATATGAAGACATTTTTAGTTTTTTTGTTGAATTTACAAATATTACCATGAATGTGGATAAATACTGTATTATAACAATACGGTATTCTGTTTTTCACATTTGTTATTTGTTATTTTTTAATCTGTTCGAAATAAAGACTGAAAGAAAGAAAGAACGTGTATGTTAGACCCAATTCCAACTAAGCTGTTGAAGGAAGTTTTTCCATTAATTAGCACTTATTTATTAAATATTATGAATATGTCTTTATTATCAGGCTATGTTCCACAATCATTCAAAGTAGCAGTGATAAAACCGCTTCTTAAAAAGCACAACCTCGATCCAGAGGTTTTAGCCAACTATAGACCTATTTCTAATCTTCCGTTCCTCTCAAAAATTCTTGAGAAAGCGGTCGCAAAACAGTTGTGTGATTACTTAAAAAACAATGATTTATTTGAAGCTTTTCAGTCTGGCTTTAGAACACATCATAGCACAGAGACAGCTCTGGTTAAAGTCACAAATGACATTCTAATAGCCTCAGACAAGGGACTTGTCTCTATTCTTGTTTTGCTCGATCTCAGTGCTGCATTTGATACTATCGACCATGATATCTTATTGCAAAGACTAGAGCACTTAGTTGGCATACAGGGAACTGCTTTAGGCTGGTTTAGGTCCTATCTATCTGAACGCTCTCAGTTTGTACGTGTCAATGATGAATCTTCCACGCAAACCAAAGTAAATTCAAGACTGCCTTAAGGACTTAAAAACGTGGATGACCTTACATTTGTTGATGTTAAACACGACCAAAACTGAAGTTATTGTACTTGGCCCGAAGAATCTACGAAACAAATTATCTAAGGATATACTAACTATGGATGGCATTAATTTGGCCTCCAGTGAGACTGTAAGGAATCTTGGTGTTATATTTGATCAGGATTTATCCTTTAACGCCCACATAAAATCAATTTCAAGGACCGCCTACTTCCATCTACGTAACATTGCAAAAATCAGGCATATCTTGCCTCAAAACGATGCAGAGAAACTAGTCCATGCATTTGTTACTTCAAGGCTGGATTATTGTAACTCCTTATTATCAGGGTGTACCAAGAAGTCAGTCAAGTCGCTTCAGCTGATTCAAAATGCTGCAGCTTGTGTACTAACCAGAGTTAGGAAAAGGGACCACATTACTCCTGTTCTGGCTGCCTTACACTGGCTCCCTATAGAACACAGGATATCATTTACAATTCTTCTTCTCGCCTACAAAGCCCTTAATGGGCAGGCGCCATCTTACCTTAAAGAACTCATTATACCCTACTGTCCTACTAGGGCATTGCGTTCCAAGAATGCAGGGTTGTTGGTTGTTCCTAGAGTCTCTAAAAGTACAATGGGAGCCAGAGCCTTTTCTTATCAAGCTCCACATTTGTGGAATCAGCTTCCAGTTTGTGTTCGGGCGGCAGACACCCTATCCGTTTTTAAGAGTGACCTTAAGACCTTCTTTTTTGATAAAGCTTATAGTTAGGGCTGATTAGATTCAGCCCCTAGTTTTGCTGATATTGGCTTAGTTTGTCGGGGGACATCTTACTTCTTCCTTCTCTCTGTCTATACCTGTGTACTCTCATGTTCCGATTAACCCAGCTTCCCCAAATGTCTTTCTTTTTGGTGTCTATATACGCCGGGATCCGGAGTCATGGATGATCCTGCGGTCCTGTGTCCTGGATCGCGAGCCCTGGATCTTGAGTCGTGGCTGTGGTCCTGGATCATAGGTCCTGGATGGATATCCTCGTGGATTAATCTTCTTATTATACACACATGCATTTCCAAACATTTGGACTACCCATGTTGTATTATCTTTTCAATTTACACACGGCATCTATTGCACGTCTGTCCGTCCTGGGAGAGGGATCCCTCCTCTGTTGCTCTCCCTGAGGTTTTCTCCCATTTTTCCCTTTAAACTGTGGGTTTTCTCCGGAAGTTTTTCCTTGTACGATGTGAGGGTCTAAGGACAGAGGGTGTCGTATTGTCATACTGATATTCTGTACAAACTGTGAAGTCCACTGAGACAAATGTAACATTTGTGATATTGGGCTATATAAATAAACATTGACTGATTGAATAGATGCCGTGTGTAAATTGAAAAGATAATACATTTACAACATAGAACAAATGTTTGGAAATGCATGTGTCTATAATAAGAAGATGAATCCACGAGGACCGCAGCAACAGGATCAGTCACGACTCCGGATCCCGGCGTAGATAGACACCAAAAAGACATTTGGGGAAGCTGGGTTATTCGGAACATGAGAGTACACAGGTACAGACAGAGAGAAGGAAGAAGTAAGGTGTCCCCCGACAAACTAAGCCTATAGCAGCAAAACATTTTATGGGCCATTCACAGTTTGAAGTCCGTGTTTAGATCTGTGTACGTTGTTGTGAAATCACACTTGGAGGGGGGTATTTTTGTAAAGAAGTACACACAACACCAGGAGGTTCTCATAGTCACAGAGACTTTCCCTTCTCCAAATACATTCTGGAAAACAAACTTTAAACAAGTACTCCCTTTGTATTTACATATTACAACTACAGTCATAAACCTTTTTTGACATAGACAAGATTTAATTACTTCTTCCGATCTAATAACTACGTTTTCAAGCTGCCTTATGTTTTAAGAAGCAGCCAAGTTATCCACTCCTAATGAATCAAAGGTGCAGTGCAAAGTTTGTATCTTCTTAATCAGCTCTCCGATTTATGGCCACTTTTAGGTATGATTTAGTACCTTGAGTTCTCATCCTCATTTTTATTATTGGGTTTTTACTTTTAAGAAGCTGTAAAGCTGAATAATTGGCTGAGGCGGGATGTGCAAGACATGCATATTTCAATTTTTTTCTTTCCTGGAATTATCTCAGGTAAATCATTAGCTGAAATATAATTACTTTTGCAGGTTTTTAAGGCCATTTTCAACCATTAATTTTCATATATGCCCACCACTCTACTCCCCACATCGAGTTTGTAATACAAATATCACGGTTAGTGTTAATTTGGTGACTTCCAGGGTTGTAAATCAATCACGTGTGCATTTATTTACAATCAGTATTGCGGTGTTACTTTGAATATTGCTCTTTTTGTGGAATAATCATCACCCTCTGTGTTTTGCCAGAATACCGACGGCGGGTGTTGGTCTTGATTGGCCTGACAACATCTACTTCACCTTCCAGTTCTATCGCTTTCCACCAGTCACATCACAGCAGCTGAAACTGCTCATCAGCGACAATGTGCAACAGAAAGCCAGCGTTCCACTTCCCTGCGTCCTGGCCTCCATCAGCAAAGATGGCACTGTCAACTCCGGTAAGGATCCAGAGCTGCAAACAATAAATAACAATGCTGCCCATGTTCAGTCAGTCCTATGCCTTTAATTGGCCCGTATTCATGTCCCCAGTAACATATATCATTTACAAAACGTTCCTGGTACATAAGTCCAAACTGCAACTCGAACATATGTAATTCCTGCCGCTAATGGTCGGTCAGTCCAAACAAGTCGTGAGGAAGTGTGGTGGTGGGAAAGTCTTTACCACTATTTCCCTCAGCCTCTCAGTTCAGATTTATTCAGTGTTCATTGTTAAGAAGGTTTTTACCGGGAGACAAATTATCTGTAAAAGTCTTCTACTTTCGCCATCACAACATGGCTGCTGCTAATGTTTGTTCAGTAGATAATAGTGTCCTATGACCAAATCCTTCATCTGTTTAATATTGATAGACTGAGACCTAATATTGATAGACTGAGACCTACGTAGTGTATTGTAAAAATGGGGTTAAAACTGGATGAAAAGTCAGTTTATGACAGCTTCTGCCATAACAATGGTGACACATACACAATGGAGATATGATGTAAAAAAGTTTACCAAATAAAAAGAATGTTACTTTAATAAGAATTACAAAAATGTTTGGAAAATTAGATTAGTTAAGTATACAACTACAAAAAAATATGTAACAATCAATGCCTACAAACTGCAGGCTGTTTCCATAATGCTCCATGATGGTTTCTGATGCTGAAGCACTTCCATCAGCAGAACCAGCCCTGATTGATGTCACGTCTGTTCATGTAGCAACTAATGAAATGGAAGAGATATTACAGCTTTCAACAGAGGGTGATATTGAGCACACAAACAATACACCCCCCCCCACCCTAGTTCCTACGCCTACCCATAGTCTCCGACCACAGACACACTTCTCTGTCTGTCTCTGCAACTCTAAGTCTACGTTTCCTTCACAAATCCTTCCTACATTCACAAAGATCCTTTTATGTATTCTAACCCTTTCCACACGTTTACTCATATCTGTGAGCTATTGAAAACATTGAAGTTTCAGTCTCTTTTTAAAGAATTAAGAACTATACTTTGACAGTTTCTCTTTGTGTTTACCCGGGTAATGATTTCCTCTGGTATCAAAAGTTATTTTGTAACTTTAAAGTATTAAAATAAGTGTGGAAATATTGCTGTGGGATTCCTTGATTGCTTTAATAGTCTTTTAAGATTATTCTTTGAGTCCTTTTCCTGTCTGACCAGCTATAACGTGGCTAATGAGTCTTTTATTAGTTATTTCACTCTTTTAATACCACAATAATGAACCATGACATTGACATTTATTGTTTTTGAGTGTAAATGTCTCAACATTTTTGTACGTCGTACATCCTATTTTCCCTCAGGAAAAATATCATCCTGATCCTTTTCCTTTAGCACCATCAACTAAATGTCTTTGTCTTCATAATCATTGACATTACCAACAGACTCAGCTGTAGTGGTGATTACTGCCACTTTGCAAAAGACTTACTAAGATAGTGAACATTGTAAACATTATACCTGCTGATGATCATGTTCGCTTTGTCACCTTAGCATTAGCATTTAACTCAAGCGTGGCTTTGCCAAAGAACATGCTCATAGCGCTGCAAGCTTAGCTCTCGGCTCTATATGCCACTCCACAGTCACTGAATGTTCTTTCCAATTCAATTGAACCAACAGAGCAGAGAATTCATGATTACTTCGGCTTAATGTACAGATCCATTGTAAAAAATTACAATAGCAGTTTTATCACAGTGAAAAATCTCCTACTGATTAAGGGAGGGAATTGAATTCCCCCTTTCCAATAACGTTGTTATGGTCTTTTGTAATCCTTTACTCCCTAATTGGACAAATGAATGTTAATTAATGTTAAAGATTGAGCAGCGGTTTAAGTGATCTATCAAGATATGAATGATCCAATCACTGTATGAGATCAATGATCCACTGCTATCTCGTCATTCAGTGGGAGCGTTGTGTGTGTGTGTGTGTGTGTGTGTGTGTGTGTGTGTGTGTGTGTGTGTGTGTGGTGTGTGTGTGTGTGTGTGTGTGTGTGTGTGTGTGTGTGTGTGTGTGTGTGTGTGTGTGTGTGTGTGTGTGTGTGTGTGTGTGTGTGTGTGTGTGTGTGTGTGTGTGTGTGTGTGTGTGTGTGTGTGTGTGTGTGTGTGTGTGTGTGGGGGGGAAGACAGAGGTTGAGAGAGAATATGGAATATGTCTGAGCTTCAAAGCTACTGCAGTGTGTCAGCTGTGATTCTGCGTCCTGCTGGGTGGAAGTTCCCCAGCAACCTATTGAATGCCTGAACCCTTATTTAGGCGGTGGGTGGACAGCCCTTTCATGTCATCTTTCATTCACCCATTCGGCCCCACAAAATATCTCTTTATACAGCCCTCAAGTTAGATTCCCAGCTACACTTGATCAGGTTGTTTTGATTCACAATATGGCTGCTAAAGAGGAATATCTCAGACAAGAACAGAGTTCCCTATACTGTACATACAGTGAAGTGAAAACTTTCCATGCCTTCACGAAGTACAAGGGTATACGATTTAATTTGTATTTCTCAACTGCAACTATTCAAGGGGGAAAGGTGCAGAAAATCACTGGCATTTCAAATGTCTATATTTCTTGCCAAACCATGTACACGTTTTTCAAAATCATTTTATTAAACAAACACCAGAAGACAATTAGCCTCTTCACTCCCTAACTTTCTCTTTCCCAGTATGGCACTAAAAACCCAAAGACTGAGAAAGGAATGGAAACAGTTTGGCATCCTGCTGTTTAACTCATATAACTTGGCTCACTCAGCGATTTAAGTGTTCTGCTTCCGATTTTGCTAAGGCAATAGGTGTACAATTTTAACAATTATGTGCAGGCAATTACAATGGTTAAACTGTAGGAAGTAACAATTAAAATAATACATTAGAGAGGAGAGGAATATGCAATTTGTTCCCTTTGCAGGCATTTTGAAGCCACAACAAGAGATCATTTTATTTTAAAGGCAACCGTGGGACACACTGGATGTTCTGAGTAGCCAATGGTAACAGCAGGTTAATATCTGACCTCTGTTATACTTTTCCAGGGATGGGAATATTCCTGCATATGCACCAGGGTCCACCCACACGCATTCACCTTCTTAACTTTCCAGTTGGTATTGTTGCATGTGTTGAGAAGAATTGAACACAAGGCCAGTTTTTGCCACAGAAACAGTTCCAGCTAGACAGACGTTAGCTATAGCAAGCTAGAAATGCTTTTCTGTGTTTGTTGTGTTTGTTGTATGACAAATACGTTTCAGATCTAAGTCTTTTGTGTTCTTGTTAATTATTTGCTTATTTAAAGCCTAACGGCGGCGTGCGTTGTCGCTTGCCGGCGGGGGGGGCTGAAACTCGACCAACAACCAATCACATGAATCTCCCGCCCCAGACACACAAGAACACGGTTTGATTGGCTAGAGCTTGTACTGGCATATGATTCGATTGGCTGACGCCTCCGTCGAAGCGTCAAAAGTAGAACATTGCTCTTTTGCAGCGAGCACCGCGAGAAAAGCTACGCTTTGCTCCCACAATGCAGTTCGGCGAGGCGTGACGTCACCCCATTCAAAGTGAATGGGCAGAAGCGTTGAAGCGGCAACGCACGACGCCGTGTGTAGGGGCCGTAACCGTGATCTTTCACTTAATATATGTAGTGTTTTTGTCTCATTTTCAATACACAACATTTACCACATGTTTAAAACTATAATCTGCCATACTTTGTTAGAGTACATTTTGTTGATGACTTAACCTCTCGCAAGAAAACATAGACAGAAATTGTCATTTCATTTGTTTAAAATATTTCAGCCACTATCCTGGTGGTGCTTGTAAAGAGTTGCATATAATGTCACCTCAGTTGATCCAGCAGAAAGCATAATCAGCCTCTGTTTTGATTGTGCTGTTTTCTTTTAAATGCAATCGAACAATCACAGCTCAGGGATTGATTGTAATGATACAGTAGTTGTTCAGGATTCTTGTTTTATGTGAAGTTTAACAATATTTTGCTGGTAAAATCTGCAACTTGTTATCATTTCAGCAGTGAAAGGGACGGCCATTGCCAAACTATCTGAATATTTGTATATATCCCCTTGCTAATAACAAGTTAAGATAACAAAATACATAGTTTGAGTCTAAAAATGTGCTACAAAACCCCATTAAACATTTCTACACTTGGCAAAATATTGTTTTTGTCAAAACAAATGCTTTTTTTAGGAATATAACCTTTTTTAACCACATGGCCTTTACATATTTTTGTTGCTTTTGACTAAAATCTGTGCATCATATCCCTGATATGCAGTGAGAAACATAGCACTTATTTTTATTTTTTCCACAAAAGGGCAGCTTTCCAAAGACGTATTGTGCTCTAGGTGTAGCGTGATACACGGTTCGCATCAGTCTCTACATGTAGCTGAACACTCTGTTCATCCTCCCTGTTTTCTCCGCGCGCAGACCTCACAGCGTTGTTGAGAGTTGTTGATCACCGGCAGGATTTTCAGCCTGCCTGTCCTGCTGTGTACACACCAGGTTGGAGGGTGGGGGTGTAGTTGTGCTGAGCTCCTCGTCTGCAGACCTAGCTTCACACGCACACAACCCTGAACAACCCTTGGGCAATTTCTGTCAGCTCTTCCTCGCTTGTGAGCACAAACACACAGCACATATTCTCTCCCTCCATGCTCCCATTACCACCCGTCCACTGCACACAAGCCTACAGCATGCTGGGAGAATGAATGGTCTAAGTGGAGGGAGTGGTTGGTTGAAGGCAAAGGGTGTCGGTTAGGTTTAAAGGAGTTCTGAAGAAATATCAAGACTACTCTGGTCTTGGTTTCCTTTTTGTCTCCATCTGTTTAGTTATCCCCATAGATAAAACAATGGTTCCCTTTGTCAGTTTGTTTGTATTATTATTTCATTTCATTTGATCACAAAAACTGGTTAAGCGTGGGTGGATTTCACTGTGAAACCTTCACTGTAACCTACCTCGACTCACTTTGATGAGCTGCAACCCTCTCATACCATGTGTTCCCCCCTCAAACTGTACAGTATTGGTGTCTCATCATTGTATCAAAGCAGTTTCAGAGGCTTACACGTATACCTTGATAACATGACACACACAACAGCCTATCTGATCGAGTGTGGGTTATATAGCAATATACATAACGACATTATTGTAGGGTTGACTATTAGTGCTTTACCACCATGTTTATACAAAGTCTTGATAAATAATGATCAGGCATGTTGATATAATTACAACAGTAAGTGGCTAAATGCAAACAATAATCAGCTTGAACAGTCTTCCAAGTTACTAGAAAATGACATGCATGCATCCTTTAAAACCAGAAATAGACACAACTTAGGCCATTATATGACATCAAAAATAAATATTCTACTATTTATTTTGTTTTCGATTGTCTATTTCATAAATGTTCTGTATTAATATTGAATTTAATTGGTAGAATAAATACAAATATTTACTCTCCTGGCATGTTATTGAAAAACATCCATATAATAATATAATATGTCAGTATCCATATAATTAAAAATAAATATGATCTATAATAATCCTAGGTCCCATAACAAGCTTTACAGGGCTTTCATCTGCATCTAACAGGAGCAATAAGTACCAGAACACAACCAGTCTCCCACACTAGTAAGTGACCTTTGGTCTTGTATGAAATCAATTAAATAGACTATATAAGAATTTAGAGCAATGTGAAGCAAAGCATGCAAACTTCCTCTGCCACTAAAGTACATTAGATATGGTGAAAAGTTCCATAACAGCTTCTACATGGACCTTGTAGGGAGTTATTTTCAAATCAGGTAATCATTTGGACCAATAGCAAATGATGGATCTTTACATCGTTTGAACGTGGAATTTGCTACATGCATTGGCATTTTGCTTTAACAAAACTGAGAAACTAAATCATACCAGGCTGTCTGACTGCATGCATGCTTGAAAGAAATCCTGCGAGAGTGTGTATGAAAAAATTAAAGTTTCCTACCCGTTGATGTGTGAAGAGAGAGTTGGAGGGGCTTGCTGGTCTCTTTAACACAGCAGGGCTGTCACCAAATGTCCTCATTACTCCACTTCTATCCAGCCAGCTGCTTCTCCGCACGTTCAATTTATGGGAATAAAGACAGCGGGGTGGGGGGAGTTGTTTTGATACGGACTTGGAGGTATGATATGTTGGGGAGAATCGGCGCACAGATCCACACTCACACCTTTCACACACGCACGATCTGTAACAATACCACAGTGCTGCAGGTTGGTTTTTGGGGCAGCAGCTGACTGATTGTACCCCCTCAATTCAATTCAATTCAAAACCTTTATTTATCCAGGTAAAATCCCATTGAGATCAATGATCTCTTTTTCAAGGGAGACCTGCAGCAGTAGGTTCCACAAGAAGACATAAAAACATAAACAACAGAACAACAAAAGGACATCATACAGCAAAATGTACAGGGATTACAATTTACATATCTAACCACATGTACAGGTACCAACAGCATCTGATTGTGTAGCATCCAACCGAGCTTTAAAAACATGTAGTGGTACTAGCTTGGTCATTTTCCATTCTTTTTGCAGACTGTTCCATGTTAGTGGAGCTGCACATCTAAAAGCTTTCTTCCCTAAGACAGTCCTAGCACTTGGCACATTTAATAAAACCACAGCATGCGATCTCAGGCAATAAGTACTTTCAATTCGCAGAGAGATCAGGGAGCAGATATAAGATGGTAGTTTATCCAACATGGCTTTGTAAATGAAAAAGTACCAGTGACTGAGCCTCCGTACAGTAAGTGATGGCAAAACCGCCTTGGTATACAGGGTACAGTGATGCGTAAGTGCTTTACAATTTGTCAAAAATCTCAGAGCACTGTGATACGCAGCATCTAACTTGCTCAGGTAATTGGCAGGTGCATTCATATATAACAAATCACCATAGTCCAGCACAGGTAAAAAGGTCACAGTGACTAGCCTTTTCCTGGCCTCAAGCGAGAAACAGGACTTATTTCTGTAAAAGAAACCTAGCCTAACCCTCAGCTTTTTAAGCAGGTTATTGACATGAAGTTTAAAAGTGAGACAGTCATCAAGCCAGATACCCAAGTATTTGTAACAGGTAACCACTTCAAGTTGTATTCCTTGCGTAGTTACAATATCCAAAGCAGTCTCTGGTGTATTTTTAGCTTTAGCTTTCGAAAAGTGCATTACCTTGGTTTTATCCACATTTAAAAGAAGCTTAAGCTCAGAGAGCTGAGCCTGAATAATGTTAAAAACAGCCTGTAATTTAACTGGTTGGGTCAGTTTCATTTGAAGTGCTCTGAGTTTGAGGATGAGACAGATGCATCGCAGAGCTGTCATCAAAGAATCACTGGGCGCTCGTTTTGCACTCCAAAAAAAATATGGCTTTGGTCCAATCGGATTTAATCAAAATGAAATGGCGACCTTGCAGGATTGGACATGATAGCAAATGTCTAATGCTATAAAAACGAAATGTATAGCCGCTTATTGTCTCGAGATTCAATCTGTATGTGTAGCATTTTTCTTTAAAAAAGGAAACAAAAAAGTCCCTTTGCTTTAGAGCGATGAAGGCCAGAATTTGTTCCTCTTAAGGGTCCATTGTGGATGTGCTGATTAAAGTCATGACTTTATCCCGCTGTTCAGAAAATCACTCCTGAGGTTTCTTGGCAGTGTTAGGCACAATTTTCATGAATTATGGGAACCCTAGGGTGCTTCAGATTTTGTGAAATGGCCTCATGCTCCCTGGTTATTATACTCCCATGCAGAGCGATCATCAGACCCAATGAGTCCCAGTACATGGCTCCTGCACCGGATCAGATCTGTCCACATTTTGACAGCTGCTTACAGATAATAGGGCTCTCCCTCCGAATTCAAAGCCATCTGGATGAATACAAAAAGATACATTAGTGATCAGATCTTAGATTTTTTTGTTATCACTCTCCAGGTTTTACATATTTATTGGGTTTTTTGGCAGTGCAACGGTTCAGTATTTTAGACAGCTCTTTTGGTGGTGTTGACTATCAATTTGCCATTCCATCAAAGTCTCAAATGGGTCCGAATTTAAAGGAGGGATTTTATGTCGCCCTTCCATAAAGATTCAGATATTATAGGTTGTCACAACTTAATGACAGGACAGTACACTTTCCAGACCCAAGCCCTTTTAACCCTAATGACATCCAAGGTGGGCTGCAAAAATAAAAGATGTTAACTGTTAATTACTTATTATCTCTCCAAATCGTCTGCAAAAAAGGCAACATTTTCTTAAGACATATCAAGATGTCTTGTTTTGGTCTTTCTATCACTCCAAAACATAAATATTATTCAGTTCAATATGGCAGGAGACAAAAGAACAAATCTCCACAATTGACCAGCTGGAAGGTGGAAAGTTGGCATAGAAAATGTTACATTTATTAATGTAAATAGTTGGCAGTGATGTTCCTATCCATCAACTCAATGGTTAATAGGCTGATCTTGTTAGCTCTACATACAGTATTGGGCTTTTCATTCTAAACAATTCTCATCAATAGTGAGTGACTTATACCACATTTCTTATGTGCATACCTCATCCATTGTTCTGTCACTATTTATAGTGAATGAAGCTATGAAGAAAGACAATGTCTTGGTCTTAATCCTATCTACAAAGCTGTAGAGTAGTTGCTTGTTACTCCAGATTGGGAAAACAACCATCAACTAGCATAACAACACATATTTTGGTCATATTGTCATCATTTTTGAACAGCGTAAATAATGTTCCCTCCATGCTGAAGTCTCCTCTCTCCTCTCCAGGTTCCCCGGGCCTGCAGGTGCAGTTCAAAGTAGATGAAAGTTTCCTAAGGCAAGGAGAGAAGCGCTGGTTCCTGCGCTACCTGGCCCTCCACACCATGCACATCGACATCTGGGACAGCGACTCACTGCTGCTCATAGGTTCTACCGCCATCGAGCTCAAGGTAAATGACCAAAGTCGACTTATGATTGGAAACTATAGAGAAAAAAAGATGATTTGTTGTAGCATTACAAGCAAATTCCGATCCCACTGACGTGTTCAGGACAAAACTCCCTAGAGTTTTGCATCGAAGGAAAAGAAAACATCCCGTTTACACATGCAGTATCACCTCGTGACACACCTTCATCGTATCGCAGTGCGTCTGTCATGGATTCATGCAGCGTCTACAGATTGTTTTAACACATTTAATAGAGTGAACCAGGCGTTGCGGAGAAAACTGATAATAGAATGTCAAATACAGAAATGCTTCAGTAAACTGTATATTAACCAGGTTGCCTCTAATACACAAAAAGGACATTTACAACTACAAAATAGTTGTTTTAATGATTTTAATGTATGTCTACTGGGACCAGAAGGATTGCAAATGGTCTTATTTTATGAAATATGTGGCACGTTTCGGTAAACAAACACTGTTTAGTATTGCTCCCTGTGTGCTCTGTGTTCAAGGATATAAGTGAAAGACATTTCCCTCCTACTGTATCTTAACCTCTAAAGAAAAAACCAACTGCACATTCAAGGGATTTTTAATTCTGGTCTTTTAATCTCTGCTCTTTATTGATTGGACAGAAAATCTCTTGCCAACCTTGATGTAACATTGATTTGTTTTGCAGCTTGGTGAAATTTGTAAAGCGTTTAATGAGAAAAGAATAAGGGAGTATTTTACAACTGGGAAGGGCCTTTTGACCTTGTTCATTTAGCGATAAATCAAACTGTTCCTTTTTGTTAATATGATCTAATTTATTTGCGAGTTCATCTTCATTAAATCACTTTCCCACAAGGATTGATCATAACATTTGTGTTAAAAGCACTTTTCGCTCATTCTGTTTTGTATTTGCAGTTCATGTTGCGTCAGGGCAGATCGGCAGTGCAGGCCCTTCAGGAGGTGGAGGTGCTGACCACAGATTATGTAGTGGAGGACATCCTGCTGACCAGCGCTGATCCGGGCCAACGGACCACCATCAGCCCCATGACGGTCCAGACCATCATCAGGGGCCGGCTGCACGTACGCACAGGAAACATAGGCAAGTACTAACATTGAATTGTTAAAATACTTCTTTGCCAAATACTGACATGCCCATGCCCAACATTAAGGTAGGATAACAACAAATGGACAGACCAAACATACACATTCCTGGGGACACAATGATCTCAACTCAAGGTTGAAATTAAGTTTATAAAAACAACAACTAATTGTTCTTTTACTATATAGTGCGTTCCCACTCCAGTGTGTACACCAAAAATACTATGGTGAAGAAAATACTATCCCACAATGAATTGCGTCTTGGTGCATTGAGACCAGCCACAAGCTCTAAATATGGATTCCAAATATCAGAATCAGAATACCTTTTTCTGGATCTTCTCGGGGATTCTTCAAGTCCCACCAAATTATGTGTGACGTCATTGCGGGCACAGCGCTCCAGCTGCACCGTTCAGGATCCCAGCATCTGCATGTAAACGCACGATGGTGCACACTCAGACAGCGATGACAGTTTAATGTTGAACGTGTCTGAGAGCTCATATGAGGCTGAAGGATCGCTTTATGTTGTATCTGTTAGAAGTTTAGGAATTAGGTGCGTCAATATGGGCGATCATACGGTCATGTAGCCAGTGGTGGACTGGGACTAAAAATCATCCCGGGACTCTCGACCGGCCCACTTCGGTACCGCTAGTAATTTGTCAACGGGGGGAGTGGGGGATGTGCTAGTGACTTATCCGACCGGCCCACTTCGGTACCAGCCCATCGGGATTCGTCCCGATGGCCAGTCCGCCACTGCACCCAGCCCAGCCCACGTAAACTGTCAACGGGGGAGCCTCGCTGCGGGGAAACGGTGGACCTAGTGTCCCGATCGGAGTGGGAATAATAATAATAATAATAATCCCTGCATTTTATCCATTAATTTCCCCAACATTGTGGTAAAAAAACACACGTTTAATCCATGTTGGTGTACTACAACTACAAAAAGCATCGGTTTGTTTTCTCATCAGGAAATGCAGACCGGCTCAAACAAACGATTTTTAATCATCATCCTCACGATCATTTAATGTATCATATGTTCGCCGAATTGACATGAAAGCACTAATAAATGTAGTTTCATCCACTTGAGTTTACAACTACAAAAATAATCGATTTGTTTTTATATCACATCCGACGGGAGGAAATTCAGCAGCTCCGATTTTAATCCTAATGTAATCCTCATCTTCACCACGATCATTTATGTTTATGTTCGCCGAATTGACATGAAAGCACTGACAAATATGAATATACTGTAGTCAACTTCATTAAAACGTTATTAACGTGCCTAAACTCAGTAATTCACCATTTATACGCATGACAACACACTTTGTCCGTGTTTGGCTCTCTCGCCGCACAGTGAAGCGTTCCCGCATTGACGTCACTTCCGGCTTCTCCCAAAACTTCAAAATGAGTCGAAGGAATTTCCCCGCGATGTTCGAAATTATTGATATTTATCGGAACGGTATCGCAACTTCTTTTTTAAACTGACGGTTCGAGATGACTAGTAGCCCAATATTTCATTGCACAACAGTTGTTGGGAGGCTGTCACAGGCTCTTTAATGTTACATATGTTAAATATGTGACATGCATTTAAAAAAAAAAGTACTAAGTTATGATATCATTAAAAAAATAAATTATATATATATAGCTTATCCAAACAACATCTTTAAAAAATGATGCTTATCCAAACTACATGGCCATGATGTTTGCTGTGATGTGACAGTCGCTAGCTGGTCATGTGACACATTAACATGAGTAACCCTAACCCTTGATGGGTGCTCTTCAGTGTGATCAGCAGTAATCAAACGTAAAAGTTAATTAGGTAGGCAGTATGCAGTAAATACTGATTGAGTATAGTAATCATCCCGTCAGTATGTGATTTCCAACTGCAGTTAAACCCAGTACTGCTCCCATTGGGACACAGAACAGGGTATGGGGTCTTTTTGGTAGTTTCATTCTTTAAAAATGAAAGAAATTGTATTTGTTCTATCATTCAAAATAAAATCAATTTTTAATATCACCCAAAACTTCTATGCCTGGAATATAGATAGTAATAGTGTTTTATATTCAGGACATATCCCATTTGGAGCTTCAGATTATGAAGTCATGTTGATGTTGACTCTATTAATGTGTAGACTTGGGAAATGACAGTGAATCCCCAGGGCTGCCTCTGCTGCTGACGACATTTCCCATTTTCCAGAGATGTGTGCAGGCTTACAAAGCAAACACTGCGCCAAATATCTTGGTGTGATAGTTCCACTTCATCTAGCAACTGAGCACCTTTGCTACTACTTCACACTCATCCAATTTGGGCCTAGTGTGCCCCCGCGGTGCGATGGCATCTGACGATAGCTTCCTTTGCCATTAGTCAACTGTTGAAACGATACCTCCTCCCTTCATAAACAATGCATCATTCTCTGGGCTTTCGGAGAGTGTCATTGGGATTAAATATTCCAGCACTTATCACTCAAAGCAGGTTGAGAGCATGCTGGGTTATTGGATGTGCAGGCGATGGATGGGGGAGGGGGAGCGTCAGAATCAATTTGGGGAGGGAGGACTCGCAAGCACTTTTTTTGTTTCTGCTTGCATCTGTCGCTCCTCACATGCACACTCCTCTTTTTATAACGTCTTCCTGTTTCACCTGTTCATCCATTTAACCTTCTTTCTCTTCCTCTCTCTATTTGGTTTCCTCTCTCACCTCCCTTCTACCTTCCTCTTTCTTCCCCCTGCGCCTGTCATCGACCTTTAATAAATACGTACTCTTATTTGGTGGGTGGTAGCCCGGTCATTAAAGCCATCTCTGAAAAATGTAGAAGTTACACACGGCACGGCAGATTGATCCGCTTTATGAAGACTTTGACAGAGATTTGATAGGAAGGACACACACACACACGAGCATGCGTGCGCATCAAAGCCCTCACTCATGCCAGGAAAGCGTACACTCATGCATACGCGCATACATATAGACAGGCAGGTGTAGCAGAGCGGGGACAGGTTGTGTGATGAGGCAGGGTGGCAGAAATGAGAAGCGGACAGGAGGAGTATATCACTGACATCATGTGAGAACTCCAATTTTTTGGTGGTTTTTTAAGTTCAATAGAAGGATTACATGGCTTCTCTGGATTGCAGAAATTCTACTACCCCTAAATCCCCACTCTATCGGATGGACTCAAAAATGCACACTGGCCTAGGCTGTATTTTCTGTGCTGACAGTTTGCAGATACAGCTCCTTGATTTCAGCTCGAGAGGTGAAGGAAGGTCGCAGGTTGCTTGAAAAAATGGTAATGGCACAGAGAGCGAGAGCACATAAGTATGGCAGTGTGACAGGAAGGGAAAGCAGTCCTTCAGAGAGGCTGACCATTTTACCATTGCTATATGAGTACAGTACATTCTTTAATATAGAGTGATGCAGTAATGTTTCCTACAACCCAGAAATGAATTAGCATTTTACCACTTCTCGAAGTCAATGCTTTTTTTTGGTTACAAGAATTTCACGTTTTATCTACGACAAACAAATACATAAATTATTCCCCCACTCGTGATTGTCCGAAACTTCTTTGTGTCATAAAACGGCAGTTTCTATTTATTATTATATATATCTATAAATTATTAAATAAAAATACTGAACATCATCACGCCGGTGATGCACAGCCATGTGATTTACTGTAGTTTGTTTTTAGCATTACGTTAGCTTTTTATTTGCGCACGTTGCGTTTACACTTCCAAAATCACAAAGTGGGTGTTACTATTTTGAGATTATTATAAACGTTTGTTGGCCACAAAGCTTAATTTCTGAGTTATACCAAAATCCAATGTTTTTTTTTCCGTGGTCGGCCTTCAAATTGATCTCATTACTGCATCACTCTATTAGCCTTAGTCTAGGGCCTTTTATTAGCTAAACCTTTTTTAAACTAGCTTATACAACACAGAATCTATTTTCCATGTTCCCTGTTTTCATTAGTTATAGAGGCTGCCTCCCTTTATCTCTGCTAAGCCACTGTCATTGAAACCCAACACTTTGTGTACAGATTTGTCATATGAAAATGCCTTCCAGGGACTCACAGGGTATAATCCCTCCCATTCCTGATAGGCTTTTAATTTGAAACAAATGCAGTGACAGAAACATAATAGCATTTAGAGAAATGGCAGAATGGAAGTCATCGTAATTCATGAAGAAATGAAGACAGTCTGTTAAAAAGAGAAAGTCTGATCAGCCGTAAGTAAAGCATGTAGTTCCATTGGTGATCTTTGTTTTATTGTTCTGCATTAAACCATTAGCTATAGGGTCACGTAGACATCCTAGAAAGATATTTTTAGATATTTTAGTTATATGATCATTCTTGCCATTATAATTCAAAAGCAATGCAGTCCCGACTACATACGGCTCTCTCCTTCTTTTCTTATTTGATGTTCCAGTCATGCATGCTATTAATTATGTCTTTACTCCGCCCCGTTCGGGAACTCATCAGAATTAGGCTTTATTGGAAAAGAGTGAGTGGCAGACTGACATTTCCGAATAAAAAAAGAGTGAAACAGCGAATGATATCCTTTTTAATCATCACAAGGTGGGATTGACGAGTAATTAATTAAACGCTAATGATATACGCTGTCAGGCCCATTCAATCATTGTGTAAAGCAGCTTTTATTAATAGCGTTGTTAAGAACTGAAGGAAGTGGCTTAATCAGAATCATAGAGAGTTGTGAAATGGTGGCTCAAACACCAGGGGATTTAGTTTAGCTGTGGTATGAAGTCTTGAGGAAGGGAAAAACAGTACTCCCACACAGAGAAGTGTAGGAGCAGATGAGGAGTGCATAAACCATGACGACCGCCTGCTCGTCACATGAAACTGATCCAATGGTGAATCCAGAGGAAAGCTTCAATGCTTTATTGATTTCATCTGCTAAATCCCCATGAACTCTGCTTGGAGCATGGAGATAGAGGCAGGGGGAAGAGATGCACTTGAGAGAGATCTTAACCCTTAACACAAATGAAAACTGGTTTTTCTA